CTGTAACCCAACTCGCTCAGGGTGACCTCCCTGCCAAGGTTGCCTTGCGAAGAGGGGGAGCCCAGGCAAAGCAAGAGAGGCACGGGGGGATGCAAATGGGTGCAGAGAAGCGCACCTGCTGCAAAGTGACATTGCTGCCGCACCGGCAGGGACGCAGCTGCAGCGGGCGGTGACACTAATTGCCTTCCTCAGCTCCATCCATCCCCCTTGCCCATCACAGGCAGGATAGGCATTAGCACACACTTTCAAGTTATTTCAGGCTGCCCCAAGGCAGGAACTTCCAGAGACAGCCTGTGAGATCTGACTGAAAAATGTTGCTTTGCCTTGGGAGATGAGCCTGAGCCCACCCCGGCAGCTACCCCCGACACATGAGTGACCGTGGCCAGCCCAGAGGACCATGCCCTCCTCACAACAACGAACCCAACCATTAAATATTTGGCAATACCCACAAATTGCTCGTTCCTGTCCCCAAATCCCCATCATCTGCCCGGATCAGAGCTGCTCAGCAGCAGAGCTGGCACAGATGCCTGCAGCGGGGACTCTGTGGCCCCAGCTCCTAAAATCCTGCGATGCTGGGAGCACCTCTGCTTGCATTTCCAAAGAAGGACGTTTCCAGCCTTTGCAAATGCTCACAGACGTGGCTCTAATGCTTCCAAAACAGAAGAGGAAGGAGGGAACCCAACCACATTATTAGCTTTAAATATCTCATGACCTTTTACTGCAAATCTCAAGATCTGAGGCACAGCCCGCCTCACGGTTCGTTAACATTTCATGTTGTCAGCGCGGCCAATGGGTTCAATTAGACTTCGCGACGGCATCTGCAAATTGCTGGCAACCCACCGGAGGAAATCCTCCCTCGGCCCGGCCGCCAGCTCTGACGCTGCTTAAGAAACACCTTCTGAGCCTTGCCACATTCCTGGGACGTGCACTGAGCTGGTCAGTGCTCAGCACATGAGATCTCCCCCCAAAAACTGGGAAAAGGGAAGATCCTGCTCCAGCAAATGCTACGGGATGGGAGCAAATTGGGTGCAAGACCTGCTCTGGGATCCCCAAAGATGCTCAGGACGGTGCCTGGCCACCCGCCTGCATCTAGGGGTGAGCGTGCAAACATGCTTGCGGGGAGATCGCATGTGTGAGTGTGGTGATCGCTGCTGTTGCGAGTTAACTGAAGGAGGCTGTAAAACCAGAAACAGGCTATTAGCAATCCATTAGGAAAGGGTATCCAGTTCCAGCCTAGGTAAGCCATTAGAGGAACATCTGAGAGCATTAGGAGAGCTCGCTTGGGGCCAGGATGGGGCTATAAAACAGAAGAGGAAACCACGCTAATCTGGCTTGAATTACAAACTTAAAAGCAGGAGAAAAATAAAGGCTACCCTAAACATTTAATGTTTTATATTTAGGAGACAGAAGGGGAGATTCTGCCAAAAGGAGAGAATAAAAAACCTGTTTAGGCTACAAATATCCCATCTCTCTTCTGGCAGCAAAGAAACCACCAGCCCCTTTTCCAGAAAGGGAGGAGCGTGACTTTAAAGTTGCTTGAGTTTCAGAGAAAGCTCGGTGCTGGTGGGGCGGCGGGGAGTCGGTGGCCACCTGATGTGACATGATGTGACACGGCTGCATCCTGAACAGCCGGGAAATGCCCATGCCCACGTTTGAGGGAGCTGCTGCGAGGTGGCACGATGGTGCAAGGAGCATCCGGCACACGCCCCACTGCTCATCATCATCTCTCCACGATAATAATTCCCAGAGCACATCATCATAATTCCCAGAGCAAACTGCAACACGAGAGATGCTAAGTGGCTTGAGCGGAAAGGCGCTGCTGAGCAGGGGAAAGAAAGCGCAAACGGCACGCTGGGGCTCAAACCCGCCTTTGGAAAGCGCTGGGAAGGGGATGAGGGTGTCCCCCCGGCTCAGCCCCAGATATTGCTTGATGGGGGGGGGATGCTTGGTCCAAGCATCGCCCGTCTCTCTCTAGGGGGAAAACTGCAATTATGGCTAGCTCACGCAGCGGCGGTCTCGATAAGATCCACTGCTCCTGCCATGGACGGCTTCATCTTCTGGTGCCAAGCCCTGGCATTATTAAAATCCTGAAAGGAAGAGCCTGGGAGAAAGCAGACGCTGATTGAATCAGGCCCTACGGTATTCGACAGCTCGACATCCATCTGATCCTATTAGTGCTCATTCCGTCCTGCCTGCCGAGGTGCTGTGCATAAATCAGACCCTGCAAAGATAAGGGGAGGCGGAGGGGAGAAAGGGGAGCCGCTGCTTCTGCCAAGAAACGCCACGTGTGAGCAGGGCCTGCGTGGATATTCCTGGCTCTGGCCAGTCTCCGGTGCTCCCTTGTGGGTTTACTCCCGCGGAGCTGCTGGGCTTCCCGCGGGGCTGCCAAGGGGGTGGCAGGAGATGCTTAAAACCCACAGCCGGTGCATGAGTGGGTTGCCACGAGGAGGCAGAGATGGGGCTCAGCATGGGGACCTCGGGCACACAGGGATGTGCCAGAGCGTGAGGTTACCCAGCTCCTCCTGGCTGCTGGTGGAGGAGGAGGACTTCTCCTCTCCCTGCCAAGCTCCCGAACTGCCCCCTTGTCAGCAAGCAGGTTGTGTGCAATGGCTTTTCTGTGCTGGCAGCCAGTGGGGACAGCAAGAGCCAAGATGGGGGGCGGCTTGTGGCAGAAGACCTTCACCTCGGCAAGAATTAAGACACCCCCATGCAAGCGTGGCATGCATGACCCCTGCATCTTTTCTCAGGGCACTTGTCCCTTCAACGACAGACCCAAGACCACTGCTGTAGGATGAGCTGGATGGCTGAGCTAGGCTTGGCCCTATCAAACCATGTCCTTCCCTCTCCTGGCTGGATTTGGGGGAACGGGGACACACCCCAAGACGCCAACAAGATATAGGTCAAGCAAAGTAGAGCTCAGCGTGGCTTGGGCATGCTCCCAGCATGCTCACATCAGTGGGGTTCATTTTTGGGTGCAAACCCCTGTATCTGCAGGTTGCCGGCTGGGCTAAGCAGGCTGAGCGTGCCAAGGGGGTCTCAGGTCAGAGCAGCTCCAGCTGCTGCAGCGCTGCCATCCCCTGGTGTTTGGGAGCTGATTGAATTAGGCTTCGCAAATAATTCATCTGATGAATAGTGGCAGTTTTCCTCAAATCATCCACAAATCAGATTTTTCATTACCCAGCTGGCGGGGCAGAGAGTCAGAAAATAAGGCTGGTATCTCACTTGCTGAATGCTTGCACTTGCTCACTGAGCAAGATATTCCCCAAATACACTTCTCCATCAGCCAGTGACAGGGGATGTCTCTCTTGCAAGGGGATATTGATTAAAAGCAGTACCCAGGACTGTGTGCCCTCCTGCGACACTGGGAGATGAGCCCTTCCCAGTCCTCCCTGCACCCACCGTGAGGGCTGGTACCTCGAGCTCTCTCTGCAGCTCAGGGTATCTTCAAATAGGAGAAATCAAGTTTTTACTGCCCTAGAACTGCCTTTTATAGCCAGGGTGGCCCTGCCACCAGTGTGGCCAACACCTCCATGTATTTCGCACCATCGCTGCCTGCCCGAGAGCACCGATGGAGAGGCCACACCATCCCCTCGGAGGCCCTGCAGCGAGGGGACTGGCACGGCTTGACCCTGCGAATATGATACCTAATACCTAGTGATGGAGGGACCAGCCACCCTGAGGGTGTCAAGGCGGGAGGCAGGTCTCTGGCTCTCCCACCATTTTTGCAGGGTGCTTGGCTGGATCAGGCTGTAGCAGGGTAAAAACGTCAGCTTTTTCCACAACAGTTTCACACCTTGAAAAAACTGACGTTGTGTTTGGTATTTCCCATTAATTCTTCCCCTTTTTTCACAGTTTTACAACTCGAGCATTTCTCCCCCAAGTGAAAAAAAATATCCACAGCAAACTAATACCCAAACTCCACCTCTGCTTTCTTACCCCTCAGGATGCTCTGAGGACGCTCTCCCACTCCCAGGAGAGAAGTGAAGGGCAAAGAGACAAAGCAGGAAAACCTTCTCCCAACCCTTCTCTGATTTTCAAAGCCATCACCAAATGCTTCAATCTGAAACACGACCTGCAGTGCTGCCTCGTCAAAAAACCCAACCAACGCAAAAAGTCACCGAGACACCAACGTCTTGCAGAGACACGAGCAAAGCCTCCCATCCCCTCTCTCAGATCTTTCTCTCCCCAAGAAGAGCCAGCCGGCAGAAAACCCTGCTTGAATTCACGACGCAGGTGAGCTCCCCGGGGACCGGGTGCTGCCTCCTGCTTGTCTTTTTTTCTTTTGGGCAAAACACTTTATCAAGCAAAGGACCTAATTGGCTTTCGACTGGCGCAGCTCGGCTCAGAGAGGATGCTGGATGAGCCATGCCAGCGTAGCAGCACTTCTCCTCGAGCGGCAGATTGCTTTCCTTCACAAGCCCAGCAAGCGAGCAGCACACAGAGGAAAAAAAAACTTGTTCGTTATCTTCCTGCAGCTAACAAATGAAATCTGTCCTCTGGGCTGCCAAGGATTTCACTGACTTTTTTTTTTTTTTTTTAAAGAAACAAGAAATAAAAGTAAGAAATACGATAACATCGCGGCAATTGCTCCGTGACTGTGCTCTGAGTTACAGCAAGCGGTATTTTATCTCCAGTTCAAAATCTAAATGTGGTAGAGGCACATTTAAATGTGGTGACATTTATACTTTAAATGCCTTTTACATCTCGTTGGCAGGTTTTATATAGAACATATGTATGGAAAGTAGATAGGGGCTGTGGATGAAAATACAGAGCAGGGAGAGCCTGCAGAGCCATTTGTAGGCAGAATGTGAGTTAAAAGAAAGATGGAGAGGAAGAGAGAAGGGAGGAAAGAGAGAGAAGGAGAGGAAAAAAGTCTGGGTTACCTGGGCAGTAAATAGACATTTTTTTTGGTCCCTGACCACTTGTTCCCAGTGCAACTTGTTCCCAGTCACCAGCTCCCCCCCGTTCCCTCCCGTCCCGACCAGCTCAGCATCTCTTACGTGTTGCCACTGGTCCAGGATGAGGGGCCGATACCGCAGGAAGAACTTGAGCGGGAAAGACTCGGGGTCGGGCCAGGACGAGGGGTTTTGCCATGACACCTCCAGCCTCCGAGGGTTATTGGGCACAGGTTTGGCAACCACGCTCTCCGGAGGGTCTGGCTTTACTGGAAGAGAAGAGGGTGGCTGGTAAAGCTTTGCACGTGGCATCCTTCCTTACACCCCTTGGCACAGCTGGCTGGGCTTTGCACCGTGTGCTATCCAAGGGCAGCAGCCAACACGCAGAACATCCTTTTCCCAAACTAATTAGATCACCTTTTCTTGTCCAGGTCAGTCGTACGGCTGTCCTGACTCAAAATAACCACCGTCAAGGAGGTGCCAGTGCTGGAGACACACAAAAACAACCTGGCCAGGGCAGAGAGCATCCCTTCTCCCCAGGGCTTTTTGGGTCAGGGTGAGGAGCCCACCAAGCCCAAATCCTTCACTTTCCTCGCACCTCCTGATTTCTGGGAGTCTGACCCACATTCAAACCCGCTTAGCTTGCAGTAACTTAGCAGGCAGAGTTTGGCCCTTGGGTTTAGGGCTGGGGTTTTGGGGATTCAAAGAATTGGCACATCATATTTGCCAAGGGCGAAGGATTGCCATGGTCACCTTCCACGCCAGGTATCTCTCTATCTGCTTTTGGGATACAGGGATATTTTCTTGCTACCTGACAAGTATCTCAAGTGACTATTAATTGGCTGCAAGCTATGCAACATGTTTTGAAGTTGCAGCTACTTTTAGAGTGCTGGGAGCAAATCACAGACAGGCTGTGATGAATGGCATTGCACGTTGCAGAGTGAGCCTTGCCCCTCGCCAAGAGTTTGCTCAACTCCCGACAGCTCAAACTCCCAATTTGCAATAGCAAAGCTACAAAAAAAACCCCAAATTCGGGTACACCCACACTTCTCCTTTTGTCATGGCCAGGAAGGAGCTGGGCATGGGGAGCTGGACACACTGGGGTGGAAGAGGGTTCTCTGTGCACTCTAAGAATAGTAATACACACGAGTCCTCATGTCCTGGGAGGGCTCTCAACCCCCTCCAAAGTCCACACGCAGGCCAATGGATCCCTCCTGGCCTGAAAATCTCTGGATTGAGTAATGGTCCTCTGGCTCTGACCACCTCAAGCAGCAGCTTGTGAAGGTGCCAGCATCAAACTCCACTCCCAAGCATGGAGGAGGGATGCTGGGGCCATGGGGAGTCCCTCTCTGCCTGCCAAAGCTCCTGCCCTGCACTCAATGGTCTTCTCCTCCATGCTGACTCCAGGGCTTCACCTGCTGAGGGTAGGAGGTGATGTCCACACAGGGGCTTTGCCTCCCCGGGAGATGAAGGAGGTGGTGCTGGCGAGTGAGTTGCTCCCTAGCCAGTCTGCCTGCCTGCTGCCTGCAGCCCTGCCCTATGCATGAAGGGCATGTCTCCCTCTGCTTGAAGCTATGTGGGACTAGGCGTTGATGTGGGGCCAGTCTGCTGCAAGTGGAGTCATGTGTGTGCTGTTCGCTGCTCCAGGATGATGGTGGCATTGCAGCAACTGTTCCCAGGAAGACACCCTCCCTGCTCCACCACCGCTCGCTCCTCTTAGGAGAAACCAGCCAGTGATGCTTTCAAACCCACTTTCTTGGCCACGGGTGAGGCAGAGCGGGGCCGCTGAAATGAAGCCACAGCCCAACCACCTTGGTCGGACCCTCTCTCCCCTAGAGACACAGCCCACCACCACTTCCCTCTCCCCAGCCCTCCCGCTCAGCACCCTGGCACACACCCTGCTGCAGTCCTCCTTCACCGACATCTTCACCACCACCCCAATAGCCTCTCCTGCCTCCCATCGCCTTCCCTCTGCCGCGGTGGGTGCAAGGAGGGCTGGACAGCTTCCTCCATCCCCACTGCAGCTGGTGCTCAGAGGATGCTCCCAGAGGCTCGGGGAGCGGCCGGTGAACAAGCACCCATGAGTCTGACCACAGGTGCCCAGTGCCACCTCCCGGCTCCCGTTGACTCCCTCTGCAGCAGGACAGGACACAATTTTCCATTTACAACTTTATCCTCGGCAGGAGGGATGACTTGCTGGAGCTGCGCCGTGCTGAGCTACTCCAGATGGCTGTGCAATTCCTCCGCTCGCTTCGAATCCCCCGGCTCGGGCTGGACATCAGCTTCCATCGACAGAGACTTGGAGTCCAAACACATATGGAAAAGTATAAATCCAGTGCTGGCTTGGTGGGCTTGGTTTGCAAAACAAAAGTCTGCTCAGCTGAATGAATGCAGATGACTGCGATCTGTGGCTCTGCAGCGAGGAAGTGGGAAGGAGAGCCGGACTGGGGATGGACGTGATGGGATACTCCCTGGGGTAACGCAGGGAGCCTGGTCCTGCTTTTTGGCGTGCCAGCCTGGAGCCACGGCAGAGGGATACTTAAATGCAGTTGTGCCAGGCAGGGCACATGTGCTTGGGCAGCAATGAGAGACGTCACTGTGGTGGGTTGGAGGAAAGGAAAAAAAAAGGTGCCCTGATGCTGAGGTGGGAGTCACCTGCCCGTTTCACAGGGATGTTACCCCCAGCCCCTCTCCTGTGGGTTGAAGACTGTCCCTGGGGCGCAGGGGAGGGATGCCCAGGCTCTGAGTGAGCACGGCAGAGCCCAGCCGTACAAGGGGGCTGTGCTCCCAGCTGCGGCAAGCCTTCAAACGGCACTGCGGGTTAATGGGAAAACCAGCAGTCCCTGCTACCTCCCCATGTGTCCCCTCATCCGTGGGACTCCTGCCCAGGCTAGAAAGTGCCAGCAGTGCAGCAGTGCCAGCCCTTCCAAAAGCACAAAGCCAAAGCTGTTCCTGCCACTC